GAAGAGGGGTGCCCCTGCGTGAGCTCCTGGGGAGGAAACTGTATCAGTAGACAGCAGACTGTCTTTCGCTGAGAAGGCCTGGGTCGGCAAGGGGTCCGAGGGAGCATACATGCATACATGACTGTCCTTCGGTGCTTCGGCGAAGCATAGCACCTCCCAAATCCCTGCTTCCTGGCCATGCATGACCGAGCCATGGGACCCCATTCTAACCCCCTCCTCCATCAACACACCACCAGGTGCGACGAGCATGATGGGAGCAGTGGCGCGCCGGCGCCGCCCACGCCCCCACCTGGCTCGGGGGTGCTGCTGCAGTACATGGAGGGCCTGGCGGCCACGCCGGTGGCCGCGCTGCCCGAGCCCGTGGAGGAGCTGCTGCGCCGCGCCCAGGCCCGGGCCCACGAGATGGTGGAGACGCTGGCGGCCGCGCCCGCGCACGCGCCGGTCGCGCCCGCCTTCCAGGGCCCCTTAAACGCCGGCCCGGACCCGGAGCTCTTCGCGGCACCCCGGCCGCACGACCCGACCGCGCCCTGGCGCACGCCGGGGCGCGTGGAGGCGTCGCCGCCGCCGCCGTCCGCGCTCTGGCGCCGGGACGCCGCGCCATATGCCCAGGCGCTGATCCGGGGCGTGCCCGTGGCGGGCTCGCAGGATGAGGCGGCACGGCACATGCACGGCCTGTTCCATGGCCAGGTGACGGGGGCGGCCTGGGGCCAGGGCCGACTGCAGCGCCGCGGCACCGCGCCGACCAGCGCGGCGGCCTACGGCTTCCGGCCGCGCGCTCCGACGGCCCCGCGGCGCGCGTGGCGGCGGCCACGCGCGGCCGCGCCGTGCCGTCCGCGCCCGGCGACGAAAGCGGCGCGGCGGGCGAGGCGCCCGTCTCCGCGCACGACTGGCGCGAGCTCCCCGGCGCGGCGCAGCACCCCAACCCAGCCGCCATGGCATATGAGGAGCGCATGCGCCGCGCGGCGCTGCGCGCGGCGGGCATCCCGCGCCACACCTCCGGCGCCTCGCTCCTGGCGGCGCCGCTGGACGTCGCCGCGGCGGTGCGCGACCTGCAGGCCACCTGGGCCGGGCGAGTGCGCGCGCACCAGGGCGCGCTGGGCGCGCTGCGCGCTGTGCGGCCCAGGGAGGGCGCCGAGCCCGCGGCCGCGGGCCCGGCCAGCCCCAGGCGCGCCTTCGCTGCGGCCGCCGTCGAGGCCATGCTGCGCGAGATGGACGCGCCCCGCGGGCGCGGTGGCGCGGAGTGAGGTGCGTGTCTGTGGGGATGCTCGGTGCCGCGGGCACTGACCCGACGGAGTTGCCGTGTCGGTTTTCCCTGCAACCGTCGAGGTGCAGTTGCTGCAAATGGTGCCCTCCAAAGCACCTCCCCCGTTGCCGTACCTAGACCTCGCGCATTCCCCCGCTTTCTGCTGCCACAACCTGCCATGCTCCCGATGCGTTTGTGTGGACCTCTCCCCCCTCGGTACCATCCTTTACCAGTGCGGCTTCTTCCTTGCAATGCACCCCATTCACGTGTGTTCGTTCCCCCCCTGCGCCCTCCTGTTTGGGCCAGCGTCGGCACTGTACAGCTTGCGACCTTGCACACTAAGCTCCTTGGTGTAATGTCCTTCAATTGTCAAGGCAGAGCAGAGCTTGCTTTCGTTACCTGATTGCCACACCGTAAATGTGCTTGGTGAGCACCATGGCTGCTGAAATCCTCTAGCCTGAAAATTGCTCTGGCAGGGACAGACCAACACGCGACGCGGCCTTCTTGTACTGGTCCTTTTGCCGCTGCTCCGGGTCGATGCCGATGTTGTATGACAAGAGCAAGTCCTGTGGTTGGTGTGGGGTGTTCCGAGGGAAAAAAGTGAGTTGTGCAAGGTGTACCCCCCCTCCAAGGCTGAATCACAATTCATGCTCGCCTGGCACACACCTTATGCTCGGTAATGCTGTTCAGGAGGAATGCATAGTCTCGGGCGAGCTCGGGGTCGCCTCCTGCCCGTGCTCGCTGCTTCAATGTCGTGCTGATGTATTGCTGGAAGGCCGGGTTGCCGGTGGAGGAGCTGACGTGCGTCTTCACCGCTCGGAGCAGACTTCGATACGCTCGCACGGCTTCGCTCATGGAGAAGTACCTGTAATCAGTCTATGCGGGGTTGTGATGAGGGCTGACACGGTCGGCGTGCTCGGAACCAGAGCGACAAGGGTTGGACTCCACAGGCAACCAAGTCAACTTTGCGACCCCTTGCTCCGCTCCTGATACAATAGTAAAATACCTAGATATACAGGTGGCAATTTCGATCAGCCCTGTAACAAAGAATCGCGTGTATTGTTTGACCAAGACATGCACTAGTAGGTTCATGGGGCGCGCATTGTCGAGATCATCGAATGGTGTCTGCAATGGCGATCGAATTTTGGCCTGGTCCAGCGTGCCAAAATTGCTAAAGTTGATTCTATAACAGTAAGATGTACTGCAAGTGAACGACATCGACGCCAAGGTGCTGTGCGAGTCTGCGCGTGTGAAAGAGCAAGACCCAGCTTGACCATCCCTCCTCCTGAGCTCGATCGATGTCCACACTCCCAGAAAAGATGCCATGACGCTAGGCAAGCGCCAAAGGCGCGCCACCGAGGCAGCGCATGGCAGCCATGCATCACCTGGCTACTTCATCGCCGTACATGCAGGTGCAGGCTTCCACAGCAAGTCGTCACAGCCTAAAGTAGCCCGCGGTGAGCCAAGTCAATGCTTCAGGCAGTGAGAAACAGGGCTGATAGAACCGATGCTTTGAATGAGATGAATCATGCGCACGCCGGATATGTTCGAATCCTGAGAAACTTCTGCAAGATTTCCAGCCCTCAGGGCAGCATGCAGGGCTGCAAGGAAGACCCTGCGAGAAGGTGGCACTGCCCTGCAGGCCGTCACCAACGCCATCTCTGTGCTCGAGGTGCGAGTGAGGGCCAGCACTTGTGGTCGTGGGGCGTGGGCAGGGCACTGTCTGCACGGCCGTCATCTCCATTCTGTGCCCCACTTCCCATGCCATGCAAGCCCGTCCCATCCCTCCGCTCCTACCCTCAAGCAGGATGACCCTTCATGCAATGCGGGACGAGGGTCGAACCTCACCTTCAATGGCAGCGTGGAGTGCGACGCTTCGGTCATGGCTGGCACCGCCTGCTATGGAGCGGTGGCGGCCGTGCCCGGGATTCGCAACCCCGTGAAGGCTGCCAGCCTGCTCGCCAGGGAAACCCTGGAGCCGCTGCCATGTGGCCTGATCCGACCTACGTAAGATTCAGACACCTTGCGCCAGACCCTGTGACTGCATGTGGAATGAAGGGCAGGGCCGCCACATGCACGGCATGGGCCATTGTGTGTTGTGCTATGTCCCAGCCCCATCTCGCCATGCCCCATTGCAGGATGCTGGCTGGCGAAGGGGCGCGCGTCTGGGCGGCACAGCGTGGGCTGGAGGCTGCTGAGAGCCGTGAGCAGGCAGCCCAGGTGGGGCAAACCTGCAAATGTGCAAAGCTGCCTGTGCCAATTCCCATACTGATACGAGCGAGGCCTACGACTCACAACTGCAGCCTCCGCCATGTTCCCTACAAACATCCACCCTGCCACCAGATGCACTCGACGCCGCGCGCGGTGCGCCAGTGGCAGACCTTCCAAGCCATCCTGGCCGATGCCACCGGCGAGTACTCCGGGGTGGTGTTGCCGGACTCGCAGCAGCAGCGGCTCTTCGACACCGTGGGCGCGGTGGTGGTGGACGGCAGGGGCCACGTGGCCTCGGGCGTCAGCAGCGGAGGCATTGCACTGAAGCAGGAGGGCCGGGTTGGCGAGGCGGCGCTCTACGGCGCGGGGTGCTGGGCTGAGGAGGAGGAGGGAGGGGCAGGAGAGGAGGAAGGGGCAGGAGAGGAGGAGCAGCAGCAGCGTGAGACCAAGGAGAAAAGCGAGGGAAGGAGGTTGCGCGGAGAGACTGGGGCCTCCGAAGCGGCGCCTCTGGGCTCCAAAACCAATAGCATGCACGGCGTCGCGGTGAGCACCACCGGGGTGGGCGAGCGAGTGGCCGCCTGCCTCCTCTCCAAGACCGCCGCTGACGCTGTGCGGGCCGCTGCGGGCGACCAAGGGGTGAGCGGCGCACTGCGCAGCGCCTTGAGACGCTCCGTTCTAAAGGTGTGGCGTCTGGGCCCGCAGTGGCAAAGAGGAGTTGCAGAAGGGTACCCCTTACCCATTGTGTATTTCCAGGGCCGGCAAGATTCTCTCCCTGCGCCGGCCCGCCTCACACACATTTCTCGCCCCCGATCCCTCAACACCGCAGACACCGCCGCCAAACGACGCTGGGGTGATCTGTGTCCTGGCCCAGAGGTCTGAGCGAGCGCACCCAGATCAGGGCTGCGAGGTCAAGGTGGAGTTTGGCGCGGCGCACTGCTCCCACTCCCTGGCGGTGGCGCACTGCGGGGCACCCCGGGCGGAGCCCAGCGTGCACTTCATGCCGGCGCTGGGGAGCAGGGACGGCCTTGACCCAGGGGCGACGGGCTCGCGCCCGGGCCACGTCGTGGAGCTGGCCCAGAGCTGCCGCTGGAATGTGGAGGAGCGGGGTTAGCGAGCGCTGCAAGTCCCGAGCGAGGCGTGGCCGCCCTCGCTGCCCTTTCCCCCCCTCGCCTCCTCCTCTGTGTCCCTCTGCTTGCTGCTCCCCTCGCTGCACTGGCATGCTGCGACTCTCTTTCAGTCCGCCTGCTCTATGCGATGGATGATGTGCACGGTCCAGTACCACCTGCGGGGCTTCATGGTCCCGACATTCCACCCCTCCACCCTTGCCTCCAGGCAGCCGCTGCCCCTACCCCCGGCCCCCCAAACTCCCGCCTCAGGCCAGGCCCACTAGCTCCTCGTCCTCCAGCGTGGCCAGCATGGCCAGCTCGTCCTCATCAGCGTCGGGGATGGCCAGCTCCTCGGCCTCGGTGTCGGCGAGGTCCTCGACTGCCGGCAGCGCCTGCTGCACCAGCTCTGCGCCCAGCAGCTCCAGCAGGTCCTCGTCATCCTCGGCGAGCGCCAGCAGCTCCCCCTCCTCGCCGGGCGGGGGTGGCGAGGCGTGCGGCGCGGCGGCCGTGTCGGCCCCGTCTCCGCCGCCGGGCTTGCGGGCGGTGGCCTGGGCCATCTGGGGGTGGGGGAGGGCGAAGCGAGGAGGTGAGGAGGTTGCCTGGTGTGCTTTGCGCAGAAGCCCAGGGAAAATCTGGGATGCAGAGCAGGACCCCCACCTTGCGTTCATGGCTACTTCTTTCCCCCAGCCCGTGGGGCAAACAGGCAAGGCAAAAGCTAGCAGGTCTCAAGTTCTGCCATGACAGCACCTGGAGGAGGGACATCCGCATCTCATGCAGCTCGTGCTTGACGGCATGCGTGCCGCTGAGCTGCTCCACATCCGCGATGAACTTGTCAAAGGGCACGCCCGGGAACACCCGGTCCTGGGGTCGACAGTGGGTGGAAGGGAGTGAGTGCTGTTCCATTCACTACAGCCTCGGGCAAGAAGAGCATGCTGCACACACCCTCTGCATACTCCTCAGGTTGACTTTTGCTGTCCCCGTGATCTCCTAGTCGTCGGCCTGGCATGCAGGCAAGCAAGTCCAGAAGCCCCTGATGCACTTCACAAACTCCCACCTGCCATCTGATGTACATCTCCAGCAGGCGGCGCAGGTCCCCTGCCTCATGGCCCTTCCCCCGGCACTGCTTTCGGAAGGTGTCGGGGAAGGTGTGGAAGACGTCTGGGATACCCCGTGTCCCCTTGAGCAGGTCCAGGGTCAATTTCCGTTTCTTGCGCTTCTCCTTCACCACCGCCGGCGGAGGGTTGCCGGCGTCCGTCATGGGAGGGGTGGATCTGTGCAGGAAAAAGAGGGAAGCATGACATGGCATGTGCCCTCTGTGTCCTGGGGTAAGAACCCCTGGATGGTCCAGAATAAAGTGACTCTGCTGACTATGTTGGGTCTCTTGGGAGTTCCTCCCAACATGGCCCACTCCAGGCGCATTCTCACCCGGGCGTGAGTCCCAGCTGACCATCGGCCACTGCTGCCCCGCCTTGAAGTCGAGCAGCGCCCGAGCTCCCGGGGCAGTCTCGTGCCCAGTGGCCTGTTTGCCCACATTTGTAGCAGCCGACCGTCTTCGGGGCCCCAGCCGTGGCGCCTCCCTGTTCCCGCTGCGCCATTCCTGTGCTTTCAGTGAAAGCAATCTCAGTCAGATTCCGCGTTTTGTATATGTGACCTGCCCATCAGGTCTTCCTGAAGACCACCCGCGATCAGCTGCGCAATCAAATTTCGGACTTCGCGCCCTCCGACCCGGCGCTATCGGAAGGGGGGTCGCCCGGGGGGTCCCGAAGGCCGGGGTGCACGACCTGCTGGCTCCAGGCACAGTCTGGCCATCAAGGGGCAGCAGGCACTTCAAAAAGGCTTTTTCAAGCTGAACACCAATTCTTGGGTGTGAGTTTTATGTCGGCTTGAAACCCTCCTCCCTCCAAGCTTCGACACCCAGGGGTGCCGCACCCCGGTCTCACCTATGCTCGGATCAAGGAGGCTCACAAAGTATAATGCAACATGATGTGTGGCGCTTTAGAGCTCATTCATGTGATCAAGAGCGGTCATGCGCGCCATGCATGACGCCCTTCTCCTCGCTGAGCGAAAGCAGGCGTAGGAGGACCTAGTTTCCCCTCCCCATGAGGCTGAAACTCTTGGTGGATAGGGGCCGGGACCTGGCCGCGGCTTTCCAGCGCCATGTGGCTGCCCTTTCATCGTCTGGAGTCGGAAGAAACCCAAGCTGGAGAGTGGGCGCATGGGCCAGCATGGATGCAAGTAAAGCAATGAGCCAGGCGGCACCCCCAGCTACCAAGTGGCTGATGTGCTTGCCTGCCACTCTGGCCGACCGGCCGCAGCCGCCTGGCACCACCACAGCCACTCCACCAGCTGGAGGGCCGAGGCAACAGCGCATGATGCCGGGGGTCAAGCCGGCGTGTCGCGCTTTCCACACGCCCCTCACCTCTCAGATCGCGGCCCTGGGGGTCGTGGATCAGATGAAGGACACTGGTGCCATCCAGCTCCCCGCCTCTCCGGGCCGTAATTTCTGGGAGGTGCGCTGACGCGGGAGGGGAAGCTCCTCTCAGACCGAGCATGTCTGGGCTGAGGAGATCGCTTGAGGTGCTACTGGCCTGTCGTTCATCCTGGTGCAGCACCGGCGGAGGATTGACCTCCACTGGCACCTATCCCCCTGGCCTCAGCCACCACACTCTCAACCCACACCCCCCACTTTCCCCCCCTCTCATCCCACCCAGGTGCTGGAGTTCAGGCCCGACGGCACGGTGCTGGAGACGTGGAAGACGCCCGATGTGCTGGGGCTGCACCCGCGCGACGTGTCGGTCTTTGCCACCGACAGCACGCTGACTCAGCGCGCGATGCTGGCGGTGCGCAACCAGGCTGTGCTGCTGAAGACGGAGACCTGTCGCGCGGTGCTGTACGCCGACCGCGCCGTGCTCTTCCCCGCGCACAAGACGCGGGCCACGCTGAGGATCGCACAGCAGGTCAAGAGCGCCGTCGGCCAGCGCTCTGTCCTGCCCTTCGAGCTCAAGGCACGGTGATGTGTTATTGGGGGCAAGGGGGGAGGGGCAAGAGGGTACTGGTGGCAGATGCCTGCCTGCTGACTGCCGGCAGGTTGTGCCTGGGCTCCCGCACAGCACCCCAACCTGTCGTGGCAACATAGGGCGGCGATAGGAATACCCAAAAGAATCCAACCCCCCAAAACACACACACCGACGCAGGTGCTGGAGGCGCTGATGGCGGAGAGCGTGCGCGGGCTGGAGGGCAAGGGGCGGCGGCTGAGCGTGGTGGCCGAAACTGTGCTGAACGACATCAACAGCAACTTCAGTAACTCCTCGGGCGAGCTGCAGCGCCTGCTGCCCATCCAGCGCAAGCTGACTGAGGTGCAGCAGGACGTGAAGGACCTGCTGGAGGCCCTGACCTGCATTGTGGAGGACGACGTGCAGCTCAAGCGCCTGTGCCTGTCAGACCGCGCGGCGGCCCTGGCGAGCGTGCCGGGGGCGGCAGGGCCCGGGGCGGTCGCCGGCAAGCGGACGCACAAGCCGGGGTTCAAGGAGCTGAGGGGGGCGGAGGGCGGGTACAGCAGGAAGGGGGACGGCGCTGGGCAGCGCAGCCCCGCCATGCGTATGGCGGCCGCCATCCTGGAGTCCTACGAGTTCAAACTCACTGCCGTGCACGTGAGTGATATTGTGGAGTGGGTAGATCTTGCAGCTGGCTTGCGACGGGGCGGGGGGTGGCGTTCCTGGAGGGCCTTACCACAGTTACGTACCGCTACTCGCACAGCTGCACGAGGCTGTTGCTGGACCTCCCCCTTTCCCCTTTCCCCACCCAACTGATGCCACGTCCATCACCACAAGTCGCCCATCCAACCCCACTCCATGCAGGGCTACCTTTCGGAGCTGGAGGCCAGCATGGAGCAGACCAAGACGGTGTGGCACATGCAGCTGGATCACCAGCGGAACCGGGTGCTGCGGGTGAACCTGCTGATGAGCATCGCATCCTTTGCGGCCATGTCCATGACGGTGCCGGCGGCCTTCTTCGGGATGAACCTGGACAACCGATTGGAGGTGTGCAAGTGGGGGCGGCGACCCTGAGTGGGATGATGAAGTCGGGAAAGCTTCACGAGCTCCTTGAGCGAGGTGCCCTTGGCCCTCCTTGGGCTCTTGCATCCCACGGCCCACCCGCACTCCCACTCCAAAGCCCCGCCTGATGCACCCAGTCTGACACATTCCCAAGCAAGTCCCTCTCCCAGGCTGCACCGGGCATGTTCATGTTTGTGGTGAACTGCTCCATGGGCACCGGGCTGCTCATGGGCGGGATGGTGTACGTGTACTACAAGTTCGGTCCCAAGCGGCGCTACAAGGCCCGGCTCAGGGACATGCGCTCGCTCAGGTGGGGTGGCTGCTGGTGCAGCTGTGTGGTGAAGATTGAGAAATGTGGGACAGAGCCATCTGGAACGAGTTGGTTGTGACGATCATCCTGGCGGGCACATCCCTGTCTGGGTACCAGCAGGGATCCATGCACATTACCCTTGGCACTTGGCTGTGACCTGGGCCGGTCTTTCACTAGGCTTCCCCTGTCATTCCCAGGGATCTCCTGGTGTTCCACATGGACGACATGGACGATGTGATCCAGGAGATCAAACAACGCGGTCAAGTGACCAAGACCGAATTTGCTCAGATCGTCAGAGAGGTGAGGATCATGCCATTCCTTGCGGTTGGGCCCAAGCTTAGTGTTCAAGGGTCGTGCTTAGCAACCAGTGATCTCCCTCTCTGCATCAGGGACGACCATGATGCCTGTCCAAGTTTGCAAGCCTTGATCTTGCTACAGTCGATCCAGGAGAGACCCATGCCCAGGACATGCACCAAATACATCCCTTACTGATCCCCACATGCAGTCTGTCCAAGGCAAGCCCATGAGCACCGATGAAATAAACCTCCTTTACAGAGTATTTGACAGCAATAAGGACGGGGTGAGTCGCCGATGTGCGGGCCCCGGGGTTCATTTTTCTGATCTGGACTGATAGCCTCATCACCACCGATTGCATTGAGCGGGTAGGGAGGCGGATATACTTTAGATGACACAAGCTGAGGAAGCACAGCAACTATACTACAGTCTTCCACTCTCAAACACTTGCTCAGATTTTTGTCTCTGTGGTGCCTCAAGCGTTTCCTCGCTCCCTCTCCAAACATTCTCTAATGCCATTCCCTTTCCAGCTCCTGGAGCTGTCGGAGCTGCTGAGGATGGAGGAGCACATGGACGACTTCTCAAGGACCCATCTGCAGTGATGGTCTGCCCCATTGAAATTGATCATACCTGTCCTACCGTCTCAGCACCACTCATTACAGATGTTTGTGTAGCACACTAACATCACCATGGGTAATAGGGAATGGAAAGGAACTGGCACCTCCACGGCTCATGAACAATGCAGACGGAGGCATGATCTTGGCGAGCAGAGCCGGTCGGGCACATGAGCCCGTGTCCCCGGCAGCACCGGAGCGGCAACATGTGTCGGCTGTCCGACTGCCTTTTTTTGTGTGTCACGATCTTGAGAAAACACACAAGCACAAGTGGGAAGGGGCGTGACTCCTGGCTGCGCACGTCGCCCGCAAGAGCTGCTTGCAACGCAGGCGTCGTGGGCTGGCGCTCATCTCTGTGCTTCCAGAGCTCAGCTCATGCGGCGGGGCAGGCGGCGTAAGTGCACTTGCCCCCCGTGGGCAGCGCCCCCGTCGTCAGGTTGGTCTCCAGGAGGACGGGCGACCCGTTGCCGCAGAAAGAGATGAAGGGGCAGATGGTGGAGGGGCTGGCACTGCAGCCGTTAGCGGCGGTGGTGCAGTCGGCGGCGGTCACCACGACGGGGTCGTCCTTGATGTTGCGCAGCCAGATGGGGGTGTGCGTTGCCTGCGAGGGGGCCGAGATGTAGGTGGGTGTCTTGGTGTGAAGGTGAAGGGCAATCCATTGAGGGAGCACAGGGCAGCAAAGACCATACGCCGCAAGGCGGCCCGATCGCAGGGGTTTTTGGCCGAAGCACATGCAGCACCCAAGCATCGCGATGGGCATGCAATCAAGTACGCACTTACACCCCTCCCTCGCACGATGCCGCTCACGGTGAGGGCCTCGGGGCGGGTGGTTGCCACAAGGTCCAGCAGGACCTTGCCGGGGCGGGGGATGGCGCCCTCGTACCAGTCCAGGCCGGCGGCGGCGGAGATCAGGCCGTCCGTGCGCAGGATCTGGATGTGTGGGGAGGGGCGGATGTGGTGAGGTGGGGTGGGTGATGGCAGGCTGCAAGCATTATTCTTTTTGTTTCACAGTGGCATCGCTGGCCTGTGCCTAGGGCTGTGTTTTTGGCCAGCAGCCGAGCAGTCGCACCCCGCAGTGCCTCCAAAACACACGACGACAGACACCCAACCATGCATCGCCCGCGAGAGCATGCTCTGGAGCCAATGAGTGCCCACAAATCCCAGCTGACCTTTCCGGCAGAGAACCAGACGTCCTCGGCGGTAGGGAAGACGCCCTCGCTGGAGAACTGCATCAGGAACTCGCCCAGGTGGTAGGTGGAGGGGTCGGCAACAAAGGTCTCGTCGATCACGATGTCGACCTCGGCCAGGACTGACAGGAAGGCCTCCAGGGCGAGGGTCTGGTTGGCAAAGGTCTCGTTGGTGCCCCAGGCAAAGGCCAGGTCGGAAGGGGAGAACTCGGTGGGCTGGACGCCTGGAGGAAAGGAGGGAGGAGGGAGAGTTGCGGTGCGGTGTGGTGGTTGAGGGGGTACAGAGGAATGCACAACCCTGCGCGGCAGGTGGCATCGAGCTTGAAACGCATTCAGATGCGTTGCTTTGCCAAGACCCTTTGCAGGAGTTCAAAGTGGGCACTGCAACTCCAGGTAGATGCCCCAAAGACACAAATCCCACAGGCACCGTGCCCTGAACTCGTTCCCCGCCGCACGCTCCCACACACACACACACACACACCCTCAATCTCCAAAATGTCAGTGTAGTTCAGGTTCTGGCCACCCGCGGCCTCCACCAGCTCGGTCTTGTAGGCCGCAAAGGACAGCTGGTACCACTCTTGGGTGCCGTACATGAAGTGGTTGATCCAGGCCACCACAGGCTTGGGTCCCTCCTGGGCCAGTGCCGCGGCCTGTGCATGGGGAGCGGCGGGGGCATCAGCGATGGAGCATGAGAAATCACCCATAAAGACGGCACTCTGTTTGGGTGGGTACCTGACGACGATGCTTGCCCTTCGCTCCATGCCAGGCAAGCAACAATTGCCTCGAGCACACCCACCTTGGTCTGCTCAAACTCGTTCTTGATGGCGGTGAAGAGGTTGGAGGAGTAGGCATCCAGGTTGAAGAAGACGCCAAGGAACTTGATCCACTCAGCCCTCTGCAGGAGACCTGTGGGGGGTGGGGTGCAGGCGGGGTCTGTGGTTTCATAGTCTGGGATCCTAGCGGTGACAGGGTACCTCTGTGCCCACCCTGACCTCCATCGTTCCACATAGATACCCCATCACACAGCCCTCCCGCCGCGCTTGCCTCGTGCGCCACTCACCCGGATCCTCCGTGGCCGAGAAGGTGAACTGTGTGGGCCAGGCGGAGTTGGAGGATGTGACCAGGCCGTCTGTGTAGGCGCCGATGGTGGAGCTCAGCAGCGTGGCATTGTTCAGGCTGAGGGAGTCGGGCGCCACACGGTTGCAGGACTGCACCAGCCGCTGGCCGCAGGGCGCCACCACGTACTCGGAGACGTCGTATACGCGGTCGGTCACGCCCAGCAGCTCCAGGAAGGCGTAGGGCACCGTCTCAGGGAGGGACAGACTGATCAGGGGGATGGAGAAGGGGCGGGCGTCGGAGGGGAGCTCATTGGCGGCCACGCTCACGCCGCACTGGGTGAGGGTGTATGCCTCCCCGGCCAGGGTGTTGTTCAGCACCTGCGCAGTGGTGAGGTGAAGTTGAGGGGAAGCCGAGACCTGGAGTCGAGGTGCTGCTCCTCAGAGATGGCGCTGTCGGCTTGGCTGCATGCATGGGGCTGTCCTTCAGACGCCCACTCTCAGCGCCAGGGCACCTTGTAATTATCGTAGTACGTCACGGTGAACCCGGTAGAAGTCTCCACCTAGGAGGAGTGGAGGTGTGGTGGTGGAGGTCTGGTGCACCTTCATTTGGCTGGGACAGCATCATGACTGCAGGGGGCAATGTCCATTCCGCAAAAGGAGGTTCGGATCGCCAGCGCCAAGGCCTCCTCACACACACAGGAGCTGCCAGTCACCCCCCAATTCGCAACCCATGTGGGACATAGAGGTGCAAGTTCGCCTGAAATCCCATATCAAGGCCGCACCTCGGTGTAATCGTCGCTGTTCACCACTGCGGTCCCAGAAATCTGAAACTCATTGGGGAAGAGGGAGGCATCCGTGGACGCGGTCGAAACCCTCACACAGTCGCTGTTGATGGGCCGCTGGAAGACAGAGGCTGCGGAGGCTGAGGCCACGAGGGCCACCAGCAAGATACATCTGCAAGTCATGGCGACAAGGGGGTCCGCGGGGCGGCGGCCAGGACTATCGGGCAGGCTTGGACGGCTCTGGTGTTCGCTGATTTCTATAATTATCGTTTTCCAAAAGGGTTTTTTTTGTCAGAGCCCGGTGGACTGCAATATTCAGAGTGAGCGCGTATTGTGAGTAGGTTTTTAGGGTGGGAACGTGCTGAGCCAGGCAGAGCATGACTAAAACAAGCATGGGTTAAGGTGAAACTTCGACCCACAATCTTTACAACGTGGCAGTATTCCTCTGGTGTACTTTCAAGACACTAATCATTTGTGATGACCCTCCACAGCTGCAGTAATTTGAACTTCAGGGAAAATGACTCTGTCGTTTGCCAGCCATTCGTGCTTTGTGCTCAAGAACAGAAGCAGAGGTTTGAGGGCGTGCAATCCGTTGATACGATAAACAAGTGCAGTGCATGTGCTTTTCACAAAGTTCGTCAACTTTCCTCGCTACCTTGTGGGGAACATGGCGGATGCTGCCGTATTGCTGTCAATGCAAGATTCCAAACAGGCACTTGTGCCCCTGATGCATGGAGTTATATCTACTCTAGTGGGCCATAGGAATAAAAATCTTGTAAATCACAGTAGATTCATGTATTAAAAAAAACAATCTCGTCTGTTTGGCCTGCCAACCAGGGTAATAGCATGCATGCAAGCTGATAAGGGAGGCGGTACAACGAGTGTCCCGCCAGCCTGAATGGATCATGGCTGCCCATTTGCATGGGAGCATTGCGTCGGGAGACCCACCTCCCGACAGTCATCATCGGCATCCCCCTACACCTCATACCTATCTAGTACATGCTGGCACCTTTGAATATATTCGCTGAGGGCCGGGTCTGATTTCTCCAACCCGCCGGGCGCACCTCGCGTTGCAGGTGAATCTTGCGGCCAGGGCTGATCTGTGGCCCTCCGCGCTATGAGCCACACTCCAATCAGCAGGTGCGATGCTACAGTGTGGCCGTGCCTGGAAGCTCGCGTGGGTGGGCGGGTGAGACCGGCAGAGGATACCCGGGGCGAGACGGCATCACCACACCACGCTCTGCCACCCATCGCGATGCAGTGACGAGGAAGTATACCTGTCCGACCCGCCATCGGATCTCGACACTGACGCCAAGACCGAGGATGTAAGGACTTTAGGGCGAGGATCTGCAATGGAATGGGGGAAGGTGCTGCAAGGGTCCTTGTCAGAGTCGAGAAATGATGCATGCACCTGGGCCCTGTTCTGGCCTGCCACCTTCATGAAACCACTTCCCTTCATTCCCAGGACTACGAGTATCACCCGGCCAACCAGGACTCTTTTGTGAACTCGCCCGCCGTCAGCGTCAAGGTAACTCCTCGCGGAGGCTTCGGCGAGGGTGTTAGCGTCCTCATCGAGGGTGGCGGTGAGTTACAGAGGGTGTTTTAGCTTCTCAGTGTGTGTGAGGAGCTTGGGAGGCGGAGGGATCAGGGAGGGACCCCTCCTGGGCATGTACTTCTCAGGAATAGAGTAAGCAAATGCCTGGGTGCTGGCACATCAGTCACGCGTGAATGCCCTCGCATTTGCCCGAACACCCCTGATGAGCACGGCATCAGGCATCAGTGTCCCCGTCACTGTTTCCCCTGCTCGTGCTCCCCCAACTCAAAACATTCAAGTGATCCCCCTCATGATGTTCTCCGCAGGTGTCACAGCCCCGAGCACCAACGGGCACTCTCCTCGGAGCGTGCACAGCGCCCCGCCGCACGATCACGAGCGGGAGTCTGGGGCTTCTTCGTCCTGCCCCATCGACGTGGCGGCCATCTTGGAGCGCGCGACTCGCTCGGAGTCTGGAGTAGAGGGCAGCGCGGGCGACAAGCACTTGCCTCAGGTGCCCAGACCCTCCCTGCAGCCCAGAACCCCCGTGAGGACGCGCGCCGAGCCCATCGCCCCGCCCCCCGCCGACTCAGAGGCGGGCGAGCCCCAGTCCGCGCCCCGCGGCCTCCCCTCCCTGCCCGGCCGCCCCCTGCCCAAGCAGGCGCCCAAGGGCCTGCCCTCCGCGCTCCCCGCCCGCCCCAGCGGCACCGTGCCCGCCCGCCCCGCCGGCCTCGGCCTGGGCCTGCCCGCCCAGCACCGGCCTGCTCCTAGGGAAGAAAGCACGCCAGGGTTCCAGGTGGCCCCGCCCCCGCGCGCCCAGCCCGACCAGGCCTCCGAGAGCGAGAGCGAGTACGAGGAGCAGTCGGGGAGCGAGGAGGAGGGAATCAAGGAGGAGACCCGCCCCGCCCCCGCCCCGCGCTCCGCGGGCGGCCCCTTCCTGCCCCCGCGCCCCGGCAAGGGCGCCGCGAGTTCACCGGTCCCCGCCGCCGGCCCCCCGGTCGGCCTTGGCGTTCGCCCCGGCGCCGCCAGCAACGGCAACGGGCCGAGCCTGCCCCCCCGCCCCAGCGGCACGGGCACCGAGGCCGGCTCCGCGCCGCGCCCCGACCAGCCCGGCTCCGCCTTCGCTGCTGAGATGGCGGCCCGTGTGGAGGCGGCCCGCGCTGCCGAGGCGGCGGCGGCCGCCGCCGAGGCGGCCGACCCCGCGCTGCGCGCGCTGCGCGCAAAGGTGCAGGCCTTCCGCGTGACCACGCACCGCGTGGCCACGCGCCTGGGCGTCTCGCCCCGTGCCTCGGTGCTGCAGCAGGCGCTGTACCGCCTGAACATGGCCGAGCGGCTGCAGCTGTCTCAGCGCACCGGCGCGCTGGGCGGCGGCGGCGGCCCCGGCGCGCCCCCAGGCGGCGGCGCGGCCGACGAGGCCGCGCTGCGCGAGGCAGAGGAGGCCGAGGCGGCGGGCGAGCCGCTGGACTTTGGTGCCGTGGTCCTGGTCATCGGCCTGCGTGGCACGGGCAAGAGCGCCACCATCGACAGCCTGCTGGGGCGGTCAGGTGATGGTGGTGCCGGCGCCGGCGGCGCGGCGGCCTCCGGCGGCGGCTACGTGCCCACCAGGCGCGTGAGCCTGGAGCGCGGGGAGGTGGCGGGCCTGCGCCTGACCTTCATTGACACGCCCGGGCTGGAGGCCAGCGCGGGCGCGGCGTCGCGCAACGCCGCCACCCTGCGCGCCATTCGTCGCGCATTCGACGCGCACAAGCCGCACGCCGTGCTCTACGTCGACAGGCTGGACGCCTCGCGCCGCGACGCCTCGGAGCTGCATGCCCTGCACGCCGTGTCCGACACGCTGGGCGCCGACGCCTGGTTCTCCACGCTGCTCTGCGTGACCCACGCCCTGGCCCCGCCGCCCGACGGCGCCTCGGGCCAGCCCCTGGGCCAGGACGCCTACCTGCAGAACCGCCAGCAGCAGCTGGTTCAGGTCATGCGCGCCGTGGCGGGGGACAGCAGGTGAGGGGTTGGGGGTTTGGGGGTGGGTAGGGGGGGGGGTTGGGGGCAGTGGCTCACATGCCTCGTGGGGTGCTCGATGTAGTGAAGAGGGGTGGCAAGTGGGTTCTCTCATTTCTACACCTGGGCAGGTTTGCTTCCCCACATGCCCAGCCACAACCCGCTTGCCAAGCTGCCATTCCCGCGCTCAGCCAACAAAACACCGGGTCCTCATGTGGCTCACAGCCACCAAGCTAACAAGGTTCCCCGCCACCCACCCTCCTCCACCCCAAGGATGATGAACCCCGTGGCGCTGGTGGAGAACTCGCCCGCCTGCGCGCGTGGCGCGGGCGGCGAGCCCGTGCTGCCCAACGGCGTGGCCTGGCGCCGCCACCTGCTCATGCTCTGCGCCACCACGCGCGTGCTGAACGAGGCCAGCACCCTGCTCAAGCCCGGGCGGGGGGCCAAATCCCCCCCGGGCGGCGCACGGGCCCCTCCCGGCTTTGGCGGCGGCTCCATGAAGGTCCCGCCCATGGCCTGGCTGCTGGCCAAGCTGGTGGAGTTCCGCGCGCCGCGCAAGTTCCCCGAGGACGAGCGCGAGCTGATGCGCGACGACGAGATCGCGGGGCTGCCACCCGCGCAGCGCGAGTTCCAGCTGCGCCGGCGCCGCGTCTACCTGCGCCAGCGCGCCGACGAGGCGCGGGGCGAGGAGAACGCGGTGCCCATCCTGGCCCCCGAGCCCGCACTGGGGCCCTCCTTCGACCCCGAGGTGAACAACCACCGCTACCGCGTGCTGGAGAGCCCCAAGGCCCTGCTCACGCGCCCCGTCATCGGCGAGGGCGGCGTGGACCACGAGGACGGCATCGACTCGGTGCAGGTGGAGAAGTCGGCCATCCTGCGCAAGCGCACCCAGTTCCTGGGGGGGGTGCCCACCCTGTCCTGGGTCCAGGTGCAGAAGGACAAGAACAGCCTGACCTTCCAAGGTGGGATCTTGGGACTGGGGGTTGGGGGTGTTGGGGGAGGTGGGGGGAGGGGAGTTTGGGTGTGTGTGATATGGAGGGAAACGGTTTCTCTCCTGCTCCTCTCTGACACACCTCACGTTCACCAAATTCAACTCCTCACTGATCCTGCACATTCCCAATCTGCAGGCGAGTCGGACGCCGCGCTGTACCACTCCACCTACTGGGTCAGCTACGCCTCGGTCAACGCGCAGTCGCTCCAGCGCGACGTGCTCTACACCGGCCGGTTGGAGAGCCGGGTGCGCAGCAAGGGCAAGCGCCAGAAGTTCACCGTCGGCCTGCTGGCCAGCAAGCTGGGCGAGGACTTCACCCTGCCGCCCATCAAGGTAAGGGTATGTGTTGCTTGAAAAGTGGGGAAGAGGCTTGGTGTCAGGCCTGCAAGGAGCAGCCGGAAGTGAGTCGGCCATGTGGAGAAGGGGCCCAGTCAGTCGGTGCAATGTTGAACACTGCAGGCTACATGGAGTCAGGCTGATCTTCTGGCTTTGCGACTCTCATCCCCCACTCCCTCAACCCACCACGCACCCCGACAGGGAGGCAACGGGGCGTACGGGCTGAAGCTGGACGAGCGGCTGCGCATCACTGACAGCATCAAGCTGCGTGCCGCCGTGGGCAGGCTGCTCACCAAGATGGGCACCCACTACGAGCCCGGCACGGCGGTGGCGGCCGACCTGAAGCTGCGCAACCCGGCCGACGACAGCGCACGGGTGTGTGGAGGGAGGGGAAGGGGGCCAGAGAAGAGGGGGGAAAGGGACTCGTCCTTGCCTCATGCGCATCACACAACAAGGAATGTGGCTGGCGCCTCCCTCCTTTCGTAGAGGAAGGTCATCCATGCTCGGAACGACCACAGTTTTTGTTCAGGTGTCTAAGCCCCTTCTTGCATCAGTGACTCACTGGGACTCACCCAACACATCACACAGCTGCTCCTGGGCGGCTCCGCCCAGTGGCAGGGCCGCGACAAGCGCGCCGCCAAGCAGTCTCTGGTCATGGGCGGGAACATCGCGGGCGAGGTGCGGCTGCCCAAGATGGACGGGACGGGGATGAAGTCCGACACCCAGGTCTCCGCCAATGCGCAGTACACCACCCGGGGCCAAGGTACCCTGGCTCTGCGCATCAACTCGCACGACGTGCCCCAGCTGGCGGCGATCATGCTCGTCCCCGTCCTGCGGGCCGCCTGGGACAAGTGCTTTGCGCGGGAGGTGGAGGCCTTCTGAGCGCAGTGTGCTGGGACCACCGTATCGCCGAGGTGAACCACACCTGCGCCTGGGGCTGTGTCATTGCTCCGTAGGTACAGCGGCCAGCCCCTGTCGCTTGGTCACCCCTTGAGCGTTCAGGCCCGCTGCAATGCACCATACCCATGCCAGTATGGGCCGCCCCTGTTGGAACTCCCTTGTTGCTGCACGAGCTAAATCCTTCTCCTGCCATGCGCCAGACCTTCCTCCCTCACACTGAAGTCGTCGAGGACGGATGCCGGCGCAGGTGCAGTGCCACCCACAGACCCTTTCTTGCCATGTCTGCAGCTGCATGTGTAAGCGCCCTGCAGGTGGCACCAAGGCCCAGGCTGGATGGTTGTGGTGTGCGTTCTGTTGTGTTGGTTCTTCTCTTGAAGGTCAACCAGCCCAAGTGACCACAGAGGTCTTGGTTGGGGCAGAGTGCGAGGAAAGTCGTGCAACCGCGATGGCTGCTCCATGTTGGAGTTCCCATTTCAGGAGAACGGTGAATGGCAATCATACCTACCACCGCTGTGCCTCATCCTTTCGTATCGCTGTGCCATTCAATGTTACAAGCTTATATTAGTTGACTTACAGCACGAAAACTACTGTAGGCAAGTTCTGCGCGGTCGTTGGTGAGCCACGGGAACTGCCGGCCGCCTCACAGAGCGACGACGGCTTCTCCCTCCCTCACCAGCACGACAATTTTTCACTCATGAAATGACGAACTTAGGAGTGCAGAGCAGCAAGGTGATCGCAAGAGTCGGGGTGCGCTGAGGAGGGGAACTGCTCCAGTCTCAGGAGCCCCCCAAGCACACCTAGACTCGGTCGTATAAGTACAGGGAAGGGGAGATGGGCCCCGCCCACTGTCCTGGGCTGGAGAACCCGAGGAGGCCAGGGGGCGACAGGGCATGTGTGCATGCGTCTGCACCTCCAAAAAGCAGGGCGCACAGCGTGAGCTGAAGGCTGGCGCAGCCCGGCCCGTCACATCAGGCGGGCCCCGCCGAGGGTCGCTGCAGGCGGGACCTGCCCGCCACGGCGCCGCCCTGGCATCCACCACTGCCTGCATCCCCCATGACCAGGCCGGGGGGGTCCAACGTCGCAAATGCTGCGCCCCTCCCGACACTCTCACGTCCATCCCACTGGGAGCATCAGTGGGCGCCGTTTCCGTTGGCATGAGGGGCGCTGCCGTTGGAAGCCGCCGCAGCGCTGCCGTTGGAGGCCGCCGCAGCGCTGCCGTGGGCGGCGACACCACCACGGGTCGCGTCGGACACTCGCCACGTGGTCCGCGCGCGGACCAGCTCCGTCTCGCCGCGCAGGAGGCTGTGCACGTAGCAGGCCGGCTCCCTGCCTGCGCCGTTGTGCGTCAGCGCTTCCTGCGGCGGCACCTCCTGCGCCAGGGAGCAGACCACGTCTCCCGCGTGGCACTCGGCCTTGAAGTCGATCTCCACCTGGTACAGGTGAGAACCGGCCCAGACCTCTTCCGGCACCGCCTCCAGTGTCCAGGCCAGGTAGGCCACGTTGTTCACGTGCCCATTCATGTCCATGTCGGCGCGGCGCGCGACCTGGCGGTTGCCGCGCAGCGGGGCTGGGTCCGCCACCGCCGGCAGCTTGGCGCGCGTGACGTCGCTGGGCAGGGCCAGGCGCGGCGGCTCGCGCGCGAAGCACGCCGACTTCCACCGCACCAGCTCCGGCATGCGGCAGGGGCGACGCGTGCGCATGTTGATCATGACCCAGGTGGAGGTGGCGGCGCCCAACACCTCGCCGGTCAGCTTGTCGCGCAGGAGCCACTCGCGCTGCGCGCCCAGCTTGCCCGCGGCCTGGAACCAGGTCTCCACCTGGACCAGGTCGCCCCAGCGCGGGTAGCGGTGCATCTGGATCTGCATGCGCGTCATGACGAAGATCAGGCCCCGCTCCACCAGCTCTGGGTCGGTGGCGAAGCCCTGGCTGCTGCGGCCCCACATCGCCACCGCGTGGTTGCCCGCAGCCTCCTGCAAGATGTTGGCCACCGCGGCAATGGTCACGTGCTGGGAGGGGCCTGCCTCGTTACCGCGGATCCTGTGGAGGGGAGGAAAGGAAACGGTGAGCGGGCGAGGGGGAGGCTCGGCGGGCACATCAGCATGGCGGCCCGGTGGGTTGGAGAACGGTGGCCGTCCCAACATGCACCAACGTAATGTACAACCAAAACCCCGGGGCCGCACCGGTGCTCCTCCAGGAAGACGCGCTTGTTCTCCACCATCTTGCAGGGTTCTAGGGAGGTCCAAAACTCCTGGGCAGGCTCGGGGCGGACAGAGTAGTCCACCACCGCCTCCGCCAGGCTCGCCCGCGGCGCGCTTAACCTGGGCCGGGCATGGCCAGCTGCGCGCCCTTGATGCCTGAAGACCCGATCACCCGGGCCGGGGCGAGAACGTGAGCAGAATGAAGCGGCAGACTTCTGTATTTGGCCAGCCAACCAGGGAGCGGGAGGGGCGGTTAGGACGGTCATGGCCGGTCCGGGTGTTCAAACGTGTGAAAGGGAGATGGAGGAGCAGGCGCGGGGTTATCTAGGCCATCGACGATCAAATGCGCTGCTTAAATTCACCAAGTGCTGGAGGAACGGGTCGGCAGGGTCCTGTATGTGCCAATCTGGCATCGACCTGGCCACCCAAGAGCTGACAGAATGGAGCTCCCCACTGCGTCAATCGACGGACTGGGGTCGAACCGCGCGCGCCTTTTCTCATGTGTTTGGGCCGAGAGGCATTCCGAGGTGCGCCAGGTGGTGAGAGCCTTTAGGTAGAGTATATTCGATTGTGGCTCGATTTGGAAACAACGCAAACTTAGAGCCGACTTCAAAGGGGAGGGATGGGTGATTGAGCCAGCCACGTCAGAGTAGGGTGATATTTGCCCCGAGGCTCCTCTAGCGCTCCTCCCAGGGCCCAAATTCACCTACCATCATGGTCAGCCAGGACCTCGTACTGGATCGGGATGTCCGGGACTGGGTGCTGATCCCCCTGACCGTCAGTGTGATCCTCATGAAGCTCCTGCAGCAGTACGCAGTGAAGGTAAAGGTGCAAGCACAACACAGAGGGCCGCTCGGTTTTGATCATCATTGGTAGTGCCGGGTCATAAGATTGACCTATATGTACACTTGCATTGCAGCTCATGGCCGCACCCAAGCCCAGCGAGCCACCAAAGCCGGAGGACGTGCAGCAGAAGAACACTCTGGCCCGCAGCGGCCTCCTCCGTGCCAACCACGGCTTCATCTCGGAGGCGGGATTCCGCCAGCGCCGAGCTTATTTTGCTGGCAAGGTGAGGGAATATGTGCTGCAGGAACAGCGTCCAGGAAGACAGGATGTGGATTCAGAGACACTCATCGCTCTGGAGTGCTCAGTGTGTGCGCCACCCGTCTGGGGTCCACCAACCAAGCAGTGCCCTACTCGCCACAGGAGGGGGTCCTGCAGCAAACCTTCCCCGCCAAGGGTCTGAACGACATGATGGGGAACCCAGACGCTATGCAAGGCATGCTCAAGCAGCAGATGGGGGGCCTTGTGCCACAGGTGGGTTTTGAGAATGCTTTCTGTTGTTCCTGGCTACTTCATGGAGGGGCATGCTGCCAGGGGCGGCTCCTTGGATGCATACTGCTCCTCGATGCGTGGAGTGCCCTGCCTCAGACCAGAGCAGGCGGCCGATGTCTTGACCTCACCTGCAAGTGCCTGCGTGCCAGATGCGCCGTAACGGCCCTGCCACTCCGATCCACTCACCGCAGATGGGCATGGGTGCCTTTGTCAACTACTTCTTCTCCGGCTTCATCCTGGGCAGGGTCCCATTCTCCCTTTCTCCCAAGTTCCGGCCCATGCTCCAGCGCGGCATCGACCTGCCCGCCCTGGACCCCTCCTACTTCACCTCCCTGTCCTTCTACATCATGGCCCTGTTTGGGCTGGGGGGCGTGTTCCGCCTCATGTTTGCGGAGGACGCGATCAACGACGCCGCGCAGATGGCCCAGATGCAGATGGGCGGGATGGGCGGCGGCGGCCCGCCCACCCTGGACCCGGCCAAGGCTTACGAGGCCGAGCGGCAAGCGCTGGACGTGGTGAGGATCCTGGGGGCGAGGGACCAGGGGAGAGGGGACAGGATACTTGTGTGTGTGCACGCTGGCCCACAGTGGTTGGGTGCTTCCATTGTATACTGCGGCTATCACCAGGATCAAGTGTTCAACCCTGGCGCCACATTTCACCAAGGTGGAGTATCGCTCCCGGCTGGAGAACTCTGAGCTGAGGAGCCTGAAGCTGCTGCGTGCCCAACTGGCCGCCTGAGGTGCTCTGGGTTTGGCAGCATGCCTTTTCTCGTAATGCCCTGTTGCAGCGCTGCCTGTATGCAACACCTCCAAACGCTGAGAAGATGGGGAGGGAAGGAATTGCTCGACTGCAGAAGGGCACCTGGGAGACCTCGGAGCCTCCCCTGTCAGTATATCTCGATTTGCCCCTGCTCAATGATGCTTTCAACAACTATGTTAGCCTTGCAGCAGCCTAGTCGATGTGATCGTTGTCCACCACAGAAAACAGATGCTGTGTGAGACACAAGCCAGGAAACTAATCGCCCCCTCCTCTGACTAGGCTCTCATTCCTAGAGCTCCACAGATGCCAAGAAGTCTCAGCTGCCTCACTAGCTGCCCTCCTCCATGGCGCCTTCGTCATACCAGTGCACCATGCCCAGTCCATCGCCATCGGCCTTGGCGGTGACCACCAGAGGGGCGTGCGGGCAGTCTGCAGAGCCAGGGATCGGGTCACCCCTCGACTGCGCGGCGCTCTGGTCGACGGGCGTGGGCGGAGGTGTGTAGGTCAGGCCCGTGACCTGGAGCCTGACTGGCAGGCCGGTCTCAAAGTAGAGCTGAGAGGCGCCCTCCTCCCCTTCTAGGTCCCATGACCATGCCTTCAAGGGGGGTTGAGGTAGGAAATATTCAGTCAGCTGCTGGTCGTCATAGGACGCCGAATGAACTCCCGCCAGCGTCCTGCTTTCATAGTTACGCAAGGAGGCCCAAGCAGATGTCTCAGTCCTTGTAGAAGGGCGTCGTGTTCATACCAAGGATTGTATGGGATTCTATGGGTGAAACTGCACTACCCCATTTGCATATTCTGGGCGCACCTTCTCCTCAGGATCCCAGCTGTGCGGTTCAGGCATCCCGTACGGCGGAATGATAATGTCTTCAAAAAAGCCGAGCCCGACATGGACCCCAGTCCTGGCAGTGGTGTGTGAAAGGGCATGTGCACCTCACCAACGATGGGGGGAAGCGGCCATGTAAGTGCACAATCGGTACACCTCACACAGACCCCACGCCAAGCGACCCCACCTCTCGTCCTGGGAGATCACCTCTCCCACCAGCACTTCTTCTTGGGACGGGCGGAAGGCGACGACACGGAAGGTGGTATCGTGGTGCACTCCCCCATCTGACTGGAACACGTAGCCATCGCCAATGTCCAGTAGGTCGTACAGCGTCACCACCAGGCCCAGGTCTGGGATGACGCGGTCGAGGTACGTCTTCTCGAGGACGGCAGTGACCGCATCTGCTGTGTCCAGGCGGAGATCCTGCGCGCAGGGAGGGTGGTGGAGGTTGCTAAAAGGTGAGAAGCCCACTCTTCCGAGTGGGCAGGGATGGAGCTCAAGCAGACCAAGTTCATACACTCACGGCACCTACCTTGGGTGCTAGTCGCACTTTGTCCTCCAATGTGCACAGGACGAACATGGGTGGAGGCCCTGTCTCATGGCCGTGCGGTGCCCGGGAAGCAAGGGCCAATGCGCTTGAGATAGTGCATTCAAACCCTATTATTTGTGACGTATGATAAAATGTATATCCAGTGCTCTTTAAATCCCAGACTTCGCCCCGACATTATGGGGAGTCGATGGCCGGATTCTGTGCCCCCCGGTCCCGAGGGCGCAGGCGCGACTAGAGTTCCCAGGAGCTCTGGCCCCAGGATGGAATGGATACGGAAGCGCTTGTTCGAGTACCAATCCACTGTAGGGTTTCGAAGACCAACTTACAAGCCCTTGTCTGTTGCTCTCATCAATTCTCGATTGCCCAAATCTGCTCGGAAGATCAAACCCCAGCACGGCCAGGGAAGTACGGCCAAGCGCATGCTGCGCATGGACGGTGGTCACCGTTGTATAAATTGGGTCCCATGAGGCGGTGGGGCAAAGGAGCGCGCAGCCTGGAAGTCCTGCCACGCTTTGAACTTCCTGCCATCGTCTGCCTGCCACCATACAGGGAAAACTCAATATGGTCGGCAAGATTTTCACACCAGCCCCCCTTGCTATTGCTCTCGACTGTTTAGCACTCTCAGTTGCCATGGTGAATTTACAGGCTCCTATCAAGCTGTCCTGGCAGGCATGCGGTCAGACAGACCCGCAGCTATTGAATAAAAACATCAAAGCAATATTGTACGATGGATTGGACTTCAACATGCATGCATATACTCCGGGAGGTACAAGGAATCAGCTCCCGCCATCGACTCAGCACAAAGAGAGCCATGTTTAGAAAACCAGTCGTTTCAGGCCTCACCCTCCTGCCCCCTCCTAAAGCTGGGGCAGCAGGCTCTTGAGCGCCGCCACGACGGCGGCGGCAGTCTCGCGCCTCGCCCGGTCCGTCAGCAGGCACTCGGTGTGCCGCGATGTCAGGCCCAGGCTGAGCACGCGGTCCACGTCGCAGTGCGGCGTGGTGGCGGCCAGGAACAGCGCCCCGATGCGGTCCTCCGGCAGCAGCGTGGCCACCGGCCCGTCGAAGACGCCGGGCGGCGTCGCGGCGGGCCCGCGCGACAGCCGCTTGAGCAGTCCGGCGCGGTCCAGGGTGGTGTACACCGCCGCGTCCCAGGCCTCCTCCGCGTCGGCCAGCTCGGGCGGCCGGAAGCTGTTGAGCAGCTTGAGCTGCGCGGCGGGGGACCCGGCGCCGCGCACCACATCCACGAACTCGCCCATGGAGCCGCGCAGGCCCCCGATCTCGCGCAGGAGGTAGAAGAGCGCGTACCAGGAGACGTCGTGCAGGGGGAGGGCGGGCGCGCCGACGCAGCCGTCGACGAGCACCAAGGCCACAGCGGCGCCCTCGGCGCGCAGCGCGCAGGCCAGCGCGTGCGCGAGCAGCACGCCGCCGACGCTGGAGCCGAGGAGGAGGTAGGGCCCCGCGGGCTGCAGCACGCGCAGCGCGGCCGCGTACCGCGCGGCCAGCTCGGCCAGCGTGGCGCAGGCGTCGGCGTCTGGGCCCATGGCCAGGCCGTAGACGGGGAGGGGGAGCAGCGCTGCCAGCTCCTTCTGCGCGGAGCTCAGGTCGCCGCGCTCGCCGTGCAGCATCCAGAGCGGGATGCGGGTCAGCGGCGCGGCGGCCAGCGCGGCGGGCGTCCCGCTGTGCAGCGCCGTGGCGCGGCGCAGGATGTAGCGCCGCTCGGGGCAGAGGCGGTTGAGTGGGAGGACCAAGGTGTACGTGTCCACCGGCCCGTCCCCGCCCGGCAGCGCCTCGCTGGCCGCGCCGACGGAGATGCGGCGCGACACGCGCGCGGTGGAGGCCGACGGCGTCTGCGCCGTCTCCGAGGCCTGCGCCGCGCGCTCCTCCGCGCGGCGCACCACGTCCCACAGCAGGCCCTGCAGCTCTGTGGCCAGGGCGGTGCCGGGGGACACGCCGGAGCGGGCGCCGGCGCCCAGGCTCGCGCTCTCCAGCGGCTGCACCAGGAAGGCGATGCTCTCCCAGGCGGCGTGCACGGTGCCGATGGGTGCGGGGGGTCCGCAGGTCACCGCCAGGGTCTGGCCCAGGAACACGTCCGAGGGGCGGTACTCGGCGCAGATGGACGAGAAGTAGGCCAGGCGGGAGAGCAGGGCGTTGATGCGCTCGTCCCAGTCCTTGGTCTTCTCCTGTGTGCCCAGAGGGGAGGGGTTGGGGTAGGGGGGAGGGATCATGAGCGAGGGTTTTACTTGTTGTCGAGTGGTAAGCCACCTTGGCCCCTCCTGACAAACACACGAGAACGCATGTCCCTCTCCTCGCCAGGGCACCCAAGACCCACCAAAGACCCCCCCTTCTCTCACAGTACATCGACCCTCAAACCCCCTCACGTGGTGTGGCCGGAACAGTGCGATGTAGTCCAGCTGCCCGTCAAAGCCCTGGATGGAGCCCAGGCGCGTGGCAAAGGCCTCCACACCCGGCGCCCCCCCCGCCGCGCCGCCCTCCTCGGCGGCGGCCTGCACGGTGGGGTACAGCAGGCTGGCGACCTGGCCCACCTCCGCGGCGCGCGCGGGCGGCAGCCAGGCCAGGGCCGAGGCGCGCACCGCCTGCCGGCCCTCCAGCAGCACCAGGCCCAGCACGCGGTCCGATGCGGCGGCCGCCTGCAGCGCCAGCTCGTGCGCGACCACCGCGCCGAAGCCGACCCCCGCCAGCACCAGGCGGCGCGAGGCGGGGACGTGGGCGCGCAGGGCCTTGGTGCACAGGCGCGCCAGCTCGGGCACGCTGGGAGACTCCAGCAGCGCGCTGTCCTGCGGCAGCTTGACCACGAAGGCCGGCATCTCCAGCGCGGCCAGCACGGGCTCCAGCCCGGCGGTGCCGCCGTTGGCGTCGGCGCAGACCACGAGCACGGGCGCGGCGCCCCAGGCGCCGTCGGTCAGCGTCAGCGCGCGCGCGCCCGCGTTCAGCGGCGCGACCTCGTGCTCGGCGGCCACAGCCTCCATGGCCGCCGTCACCGCCTCCTCGTCCAGGCCAGGGAGCTGGGCCTCCACGCGCTTGCGCAGGGCGGGGTCCTTCACCCCCATCTTCTGCAGGTAGGCGTCGATGTCGGGGATGTCCAGGCTGGACGCAGCGGCCCTGCGCCCGCCGCGGTTCAGGATCTCGGTCCAGCCGAAGGGCGCCAGCTTGACTTTGAGCGCCGTGACGATCAGGTTCATGTCGCGGTCGTCCTGGCGCAGGACGGAGAAGTGGTCGCCGGGCAGGTCGATCACCTCGATGTCCTCGCACAGGTCGTACCAGCAGAGGCCGTGCGGGTGGGCGCCCAGCCGCCCGTCGTCCATGTAGGTGCACATGCCGCGGTCCTTGGCCCGGAAGTAGACCAGGGGTGCCTTGGTGCGCGGCGCCATGTGGTAGTGGTGGCGCAGGTCGGAGATGTTGCTGGCCTGCTTGGTGACCAGGGCCACGTGCTGCACCTGCTCCTTGACTTCCTCCACCGACAGCGGCGCGTCGCGCATGACGCGCCAGATGGGCGCGAAGAACTCGATCTTCTGGTCGAAGTCCATGCCCTTCCACTGCTCGCTCTCGCGCGGGTGCGCCATGGAGGCGCCGATGCCCACCGCGTCCTGCCCAAGCGCGCCCAGGATCATCTCCACCAGCTCCAGCGTGTCCTCCTGAGTGGCGACAGGGACGTCGGGCTGCGCGGTCCGGATCTGCTGCCGCATGGGCGTGTCCATCACCTGGTGCGGAAAAAGGGGGGGGGGGGAGTTACCATGTGGGTGATTGCAGAGTCACTTCACATTGCGATTTTCTGATTCCAACACTGCACATCCCAGTGATGCCTGCAGACCAATCCGGCCTGACCCTTGCAGACCAACCCGCCACGTCCATCCAGACCAATCCAACACTTCAATGCAGACCAATCCGCCCCCTTCCCATGGGACACCAATCCACCACTTCCCAAATCCACCCCCATGCCCCTTCCGACACCCACCAGGACGAGGCCGACCTCCAGGCCCCAGCTCTCCAGCACCATGGCGATCTCCATGGCCACGCAGCCGCCGTAGGAGTGGCCGCCCAGCAGGTAGGGCCCCTCGGGCTGCACGCGCACGATGTCGGCGGCGTTGCGCCGCGCCAGGTCGGCCACGGTGAGGTCGTTGTCCTTGTCCAGCACGTAGATGGGCTGGGTGCTCCACGCCAGGTACTGCGAGAAGGAGAAGTAGGCAGCCTGCGCATTGGCCACGCCGGGCGCGGCCAGGAAGAGCGGGCGCTGCGCGGGCGGGCCGCGCAGGAGCTTGAGCAGGTCCGACGGCTTCTCGGCGGCAGCGGCGCCGGCCCCCGCGCCGCCGCGCTTGGGCGGCGCGGCGCGGGGCGGCCCGCGGGGGCTGCCCGACCCGGCGGAGCCCCGGCCCTCCTCCTCGCTGTCCACGCTGGAGCCCTCCTCCGGGGCCTCCTCGGGGGCGGTGGACACCGCCGTGTTGAGGTAGTCCACGATGGCGTTGATGGACTGGTAGTCGTACAGCAGCGTCACAGGCAACTGCGTCGGGGTTGTTTGGGAGGGGTGTCTTTGTGTGCAGATGTGTCTCTGGATGAGGCGAATGGAGTACAGAGGGAAGAGGTCGTGTCAGGATGGAGGGAATGCTGTGGGGCATGGGACTATGCAAAGACACCAGCACAGTGCACACACACACACCGCTCCTCACCTGCAGACCGATGGCGTCCGCCAGGGACCTCCTGAGCTCCATGCCACCACGTGAATCCAGGCCCGCCACCATCAGCGGCTCGTCCGGGTGCACGGTGTGGCCCAGCATCTGCCTGACCTCCCCCATGACCTGTTGGTGTGAGGGGGATGAGGGAGTGTTGAGTGAAACAGGGGGATGGCAGGGCTCCCTCGAGAGCTCAATGCCATCTCTTCTCTGCGCCCGACACAGCACAAAGTACCCTAGGAGTGGCTCTTGCCCACTCCCCTCAACATTCTCACCTGGGCTTGGAGGTGCAGCATCCGCTCTTCTTCCGACATGGCAAGCAGGGGGTGGCCAGCAGCCAGCCCCACTGCCGCCTCCTCCTCCTCGCCAGCGCCAGGGCTGCCGCCCGCCTCCTCGCCCTCCTCGCCCAACAGCGCGGCGGCTGCGACCTGGGTAGGCCCCGGGGAGGTGGGTGGCAGGTCGTGCTCGCCCAGCACCACCCCGAACAGGCTCATGGCCGCGCCGGGGGTGCGCAGGCTGGCGCCCCCGGACGCCCAGGCGTCCAGCGGCGCGTAGGTACCCAGCAGCGCGCACTCCGCGGCCGGCGCCGTGGAGGAGAGCAGGGCGCCCGGCTCGCTGCGCGCCAGCAGCGTCTCCACACGCCGCACCCAGGTGAGGGGCGACGGCGCGCCGGGGCCCGCCGCCAGCGTCCCAGCCGCAGAAAGCGCGGCGTCCAGGGTCGCGGGGTGCGTGCCCGCGGGATACCCGCTGACGTCGGCGGCGCGCGCCGCGGCGGCCAGCAGCGAGGGCGTGGCCGCGGGCGCCGCACTGGCCGCGGCTGCGTCGGCAACCAGCGCCGCCAGCGGGTGCGGCGCTGGTGGCGTGCCCGGGTCTGCGCCGGCGTACACGGCCTTGGCGCTGCTGCGCAGCAGCTTCAGGCGCGAGGTGGCCAGCTTGGTGTCCCCGCCCTCCACCTCGGCCACGCCCGTGGCCAGGGCCACGCGCAGCGCGACGACGCCGGCGCCGGCAGGCGCGGGCTTGCCACGCAGCGCCAGTGGCGGCAGCGGCACGCAGGCCGTCAGCGCGCTGTCCCGCAGCACGGGCAGCAGGTGGTCCTGCGTGCACATGGCGGCGGGGATGGACAGCAGGGCCGTCAGGAGCGCGGCAGGGGCCAGGCACGCCGCGCCGCCCACGCGGAAGTCCCACAGCCCCGCCAGCGCGGGCGCGGCCAGCGAGAACTCCAGCGTCATGCTGGCCTTGGCCAGCCGCGGGCGGCGCGGGGGGATGGCGCGCAGGAGCAGCGCCTGTGGTTTGGAGGGCGGATGAGATGTTGTGTGAGTGTCGGTGAGGTGGTCAGTGACAGGGGAGGGCATCGGCATCGTCAGACGGTGTGCGCCCACATCGCTCCAGCCTGTGGTCCTGAGGACGGCGAGCCCCCCCTCCCGAGGGCCTGCACATGGCGAGTGAACACCTCCCTCACCACCCCCACTCCCTTCACCTGAGGCCTGGCCGCCGCCCAGCAGACAGAGTGCTGCCAGAGCGGGCCCGCCCCCGGCGCCAGGGGGAAGGGCGGGGTCACGGGGTGGCCGGGTCCCGCCAGCAGCGCGTGCGCGTTGGTCCCCTGCGCGCCAAAGGAGCTGACGCCCAGGGTGGAGGCGCCGGGGTGCAGCGCGGGCAGGCCGTAGGGCCCGCCGCGCGCGATGGCGACGGCGGCGTGCCCCGTCAGCGCGGAGCGCACGTGCGGGTTCAGCCCGCGCAGGTGCAGCGCGGGCGGCAGCGCGGCGTGCGTCAGCACCGCGGCGGCCTCCAGCAGGCCCGCCACGCCCGCCCCGGACTCCTGGTGCCCCGTGTAGCCCTTGACGGTGGCCAGGGCGAAGGGCGCGTCGCGCCGCACCCCCTCCAGCATGACCGCGGCCAGGGCCCCCAGCTCGATGGGGTCGCCCAGCGCCGTGCCGTTGGAGTGCAGCTGCAGGCCGTCGACCTCGGCGGGGCGCAGGCGCGCGGCGGTCAGCGCCCAGCGCAGCAGCGCCTGCTGGCTGGGGCCGTGCGGCGCGGTCAGGCTGCTGGCGCGGCCGTTGGTGTTGACGGCGGTGGCACGCAGCAGGCCCAGCGCGCCCGGCTGCGGGTCCTGCGGGTCGGCGCGCGCGAGGTAGACCACGCGGCAGGCCTCGCCGCGGACGTAGCCGTCGGCCCCCGCGTCCAGCGTCTTGGACCGGCCCTCGGGGGACAGCATGGAGGCGCGCGCCAGCATGAGGCTGGACTCCGGCACCAGGCAGAGCAGGACGCCCGCCGCCAGCGCGCCGGCCAGCGGCGACTCGCGGAAGGCGGAGGCCGCCAGGTGGGTGGCCACCAGGGAGGCGGAGCAGGCCGTGTCCACGCTGGCGGTGGGCCCGCCCAAGCCGAAGACGTAGGCCAGGCGGCCCGAGGCCACGCTGGCGGAGCTGGCGGTGAAGCTGAAGCTGGAGATGGGGATGCCGGAGCGCTCGCACAGGGGCTCGTAGTCGTTGGTGGAGATGCCGACGTAGGCGCCCACGGTGCGGCCGGCGGAGGGCACGCCCCCCGCCTGCGCCAGCGCGGCGTGCGCCGCCAGGAGCAGCATGCGCTGCTGCGGGTCCATGCCCGCTGCCTCGCTGCGCATGATGCCAAAGGCCTCGGGGTCGAACAGCTCCACGCCGGGGACAAACACGCCGAACTGGGGGGCCAGCGCGCCGTCGTCGCGCGGGCCGCGCGCCGCGTGGTCCACGTCCCAGCGTGCCAGCGGCACGCGGCTCGCGGCGTCGCCGGAACCATGCACGTAGCGCTGGAGCAGGTGGTCCTGCCCCGCCGCGCCCATCAGCGCCACAGCGCTGCCCGGGCCGCCGGGCAGCGCGGCTGCGCCGCTGGCGGCAAACAGGGCCAAGGATGACTCGGGGCCCAGAGCCTGCGAGGCGCCGCCGCCGGCGCCGCCGGCCATGCGCCCCACCAGGTACTCGGCCAGCGCGGCGATGGTCGGGTAGTCGAAGACCAGGGTGCTGGGCAGCTCCAGGCCCAGCTCGTCGGCCAGCCCCTGCTGCAGCTCGGTGGCGGCCAGCGAGTCCAGCCCCGCCGCCATGAGCGGGTCGTTGTCGCCCACCGCGGTGCCCACCGCGCCCGCCACCGCGGCGCGCACCGCGGCCAGCACCGCCTCGGCGTCCACCTCGATCGCCTCCTGCGCGCGGTCGAAGGCATTGGGGCCGTCCCGCGCCATCCCGGGCGCGGGCGACCAGTCGCCCGCGCCGGGGGAGGAAGGCAAAAAGTACATGGGCGTGCGCGGCGTGGCCAGGCCGCCGCCCGCGCCAAAGGGCGAGTGGGGCGTGCGCGGCGTGCGTGGCGTCATCAGCGGAGGCCGCCGCGCCAGCAGGCGCCGGTGCTCCACGCCCGCCAGCGAGAAGCCGGCGCCCAGCGCGTGGGAGCTGGCGTAGTGGCTGCGCGCCAGCGTGGTCCCCAGCCAGGCCGGGGTCTGGGAGGGCGACGTGTGCACGCCCTCCTTTGGAGGAGGCAGCGCCAGCGCCTCGATGCGTGCGGTGACGCGCAGCGGCGGCGCGCGCGACACGGGCGAGCCCGCCGCCAGCGCTGCGGGCGACACCAGCGAGGCCTCCACCTGGGCGGGGTGGGGACCCGCCCAGGTCTCGCCGTCCGCCGGCGAGAAGCCGGCGGGCGGCGAGGTGAGGGCCACCACGGTCGGCGCGCGGCCCGCCTGCGCCATTGCCGCACGCGCGATGAGCAGCGCCAGGGTGCCCGACTCGGGACCCCTTGGCTGCCCGGCAACCATACCGACCTTGGCGTCATCCTCCAGCGCCGCGGCGACGCTGGCGTGGAAGTGGGTGCGCAGGCGGCCGCCCTCCGGGGTGGTGATCTCCAGCGAGCCGGGCAGGCGCCCCGTCCCGCACACGACCTTGGTCGCCGCGCCGCTGGAGCTGCGCAGGCTGACGTGTACCGCGAAGACGATGTCGCGCAGCGCCGCCTCCAGCCCTGCGATCACTTTGCCGGTCAGCAGGCTCGCGGCGGCAGCGCTCAGCTCCAGGAATGCGCCGGTGGCCAGCACGCCCCTGCCCAGCACGACGTTGTCGCGCAGGAAAGCGAGGCGCGCCGCGCTGAGGTCCGCCTCCAGCGCCGCGCGGCCACGCCCGGCCGGCAGCGCGCGCTGCAGCATGGAGTGGACGCGCGGCGCCACCCAGACGCGCGCCCGCTGCCACGGCAAGGCGGTGACAGTGCGGTCCAGCGCGGCGGCCGGTGCGTCGCTGGCGTCAGCAGGCGCCAGCAGCGCGTGCGCGTTGGTGCCCTGGAAGGCGAAGCCGCTGACGCCGACCAGGCCGCGCAGGGGCGCGCCCGCCGCGGCGCGCGGCAGCAGCCAGCCCCCGCCCCTGGCGTCGGCCCGCTTGGCCGCGGCCACGTCCAGCAGCGTGGCGATGTGGGGGTTCACTGTGGTCAAGTGCACGATGCCCTGGGTCAGCGCGTGGCTGACCGCCAGGGTGGCATGCGCCAGGCCCGCCACCCCTGCGGCGGCCTCGGTGTGCCCCACCCAGGCCTTGGCGGTGGTGACGTGCACCGGGGTCGCGGCGCCCAGGCCCAGCGCGCTGGCCGCCCCCATCTCGATGGGGTCGCCCAGGGGCGTGCCGGTGCCGTGCAGCTGCAGGGAAGCAAGAGCTGCTGGCGGGCAGCCCGCAAAGGCCAGGGCGGCGCGGATCACGTCCTGCTGCGCCGGGCCATTGGGAGCCGTCAGGCTCGAGGACCGGCCATCCTGGTTCACCGCGCTCCCCCTGATCACCGTCAGCACTGTCAGCGGGGCAGTGCGGTCGTCGCCGCCCTCGGCTGCCCACTGCAGGTTGAGCACACCCATGGCCTCGCCACGCGTGTACCCATCTGCAGGCGAGTGAGGTTTGGAGGTGTCGTTGGGTGGGTGGGAGCGACTCGATTCGGGCTGTCATGCACATCATTTGCCCTTGGGGCCAAGGTGATTGTCTTTCCAACAGTTGGCCCCGGCGATTATCAAACCATTGAACACATCGACACCAAGCAAACAGTACCCCACCAGCCTCACCTCCCGCGGCGTCCAGGGACTTGCAGCGTCCGTCGGGCGCGAGCATGCCCGCCTTCTGGAACATGGCGGTGGGCGAGGGCGAGAGCAGCACGCCCACGCCCGCCGCCAGCCCGCCCCCGGCGCTGCCGCCCCAGACGGCCCCCGCCGCCAGGTGGGTGGCGACCAGGGAGGAGGAGCAGGCGGTGTCCACGCTTACGGCGGGCCCCTTGAACCCAAAGGTGAAAGACAGGCGGCCCGAGGCGACGCTGGGCGCGCCGCCGGTGGCGCTGTAGGCGCTGACCCCCGTGGTCCAGGCCGGGACCAGGGTGTTGTTGTACTCGGCGGAGGCGATGCCCACCGCCACCGCCACGCGGGCGGTGCGGGCGGGGGACAGGCGTAGCACCTCCCACGCGCTCTCCAGCAGCATGCGCTGCTGGGGGTCCATCAGGTCGCACTCGTTGGCCTGCAGGCCGAACAACCCGGCGTCAAAGGCGTCGATGCCGTCCAGGAAGCCGCCGAAGCGGGCGGGCAGGCTCGCGTGCGCCGGCGCGTCCACGTCCCAGCGCGACAGCGGGACGCGCGTGATGACGTCGGTGGGCAGGAGGGCCAGCAGGGCCGCCTCGCGCGTGCGCGTGGCCACCGCCGTCACCGCCAGCGCCCCGTCGGCTGCGGGGCCCGCCGCGGCGCCGCGGCGGGGGCTGGGGCCCGCGGAGGGGCTGGCCGCCGCGCCCGCCACGGCCCAGTCCACCTCGGAGCCGTCCTCCTGGTCGTCTTCCCCTGAACCAGCCCCGCCCTCGGGCAGGGCTTCTCGGATGTACCCAGTCAGGGCCTCCACGCTGGGGTAGTCGAAGACCAGGGTGCCGGGGAGGGCCAGGCCGAACCGGGCCTCCAGCCCGTTCTTCAGCTCCACCGCGCCCAGCGAGTCCAGGCCCGCGGACATGAGCGGGTCGGCAGGGCCCACCTCGGCGCCGACGATGGAGGCCACGGCCTCCGCCACCGCCGAGGCCACGCCCGCGCGCGCGTCCGCGGCGTCGGCCGCGGCCGAGGCGCCCTTGCGACCCCGCCGCCCGCCGGCCTTGCCCGGTGTGACCGCGGCGTCCGCGAACTCGGCAAACAGGGCCGGCACCGCGGCGCCGAAGCGCCCAATGAAGCGGGGCCAGGCGAAGGCCACCGCCGCCAGGGCGGGGGGCGTGGCGTGCATAAGCACGCTCTGCACCACCCCCAGCCCGTCGACGGGGGCCAGCAGCGACATGCCGGTGCGCTCCACGCCGGCGGCGGTGGACGCGTCGCCGGCGGCCATCCCGGCCCCGGCCCAGGCGCCCCACTGCACGCTCGTCAGCTGGGCGCCCTGTTGTGAGGGGGGAATGGAGGGAGGAACGCATGAGGGGGGGTGGGGAAGCAGTGAACGGCTTCGAGGTGTGGCAGACCTGGCAGACCCCTGGTCAGCTGGCGGGTGCAGATTGCGTGTACAAGCTGCCTGTCGCAGCGTCTGCCGACCATGCGATCCATTGCCCTCCCGCACGATCTCAAATCACCCCCGTCCCTTCCCGACAGGAAAACATACCTGAGCGTCGCTGCTGGACGCCAGCGCGTCCAGCGCCGCGTTGGCCGCGGCGTAGTTGATCTGGCCTGGGGACCCCAGCAGGGCCGCCACGGAGGAGAAGAGGACGTGGAAGACGCCCGGCCCCGCCGCTGCGCGCAGCGTGCCCAGCGCGTCGACCTTGGGAGCGAAGACGGCGCGCAGCGAGCGCGCGCCCTGCCCGCGCAGTGTGGCGTCGGCCAGCACGCCGCCGGCGTGCAGCAGGCCCGCCAGGCGGCGGCCCCGGACGGCGTGCGCCACGGCCGCCGCGTCCTCCGCCGCCGCGCCGTCACCGGCGCAGAGCGTCAGCGACGAGGCGTGCGCCGCGGCGCGCAGCACGGCCGCGGCGCCCTCCGCCGCACGGCCCGTGCGCCCCGTCAGCACCAGCGCCCGCGCGCCGGCGCCGGCCAGCCAGGCGGCCACCTGGGCGCCCAGCGTGCCCATGCCGCCGGTGACGCCGAGCGCGGGCGCGGCCCCGGCGGGGCGCGTCTCCAGTGCCGGCGCGCGCACCACGATCTTGCCCACGTGCCGTGCCTGCGACATCTGGCGCAGCGCGGCCTGCACCGCGCCCAGGCCGTGGCTCACGGTCGGCAGGGGTGCCAGCATGCCAGCGGCCACGCCCGCGGATACGCGGGTCAAGCCCGCGTGCAGCGCGGCCTCCGACATGAAGTCCACGGCCACCAGGCTGTAGGAGGCGTCGGGGCGCTCCTGCATGACGCGCCCCGCGCTCCAGATGTCGCGCTTGCTGATCTCCACGAAGCGCCCGCCAGTATTCAAGGTCGCCAGGGACCCGGCCACCATGCCCGAGGAGGTGAGGCTGTTGAGCACCACGTTCACCCCCCCCAGCTCGGCGGCCTCCGAGACAAAGTCGGTGTCCCGCGACCCAAGCACCTCCCGCACGCCCAGGCTGCGCAGCAGCGCGCGCTTGGCCGGCCCACCCGCGGTGGCCAGCGGCGTCGCGCCCGCCGCGCGGATGACCTGCATCGCAGCCAGGCCCACGCCGCCGGCGGCGGCGTGCACCAGCACGACGTCTGCGGGGCAGATGCCCGCCAGCTGCACCAGCGCGGTGTCCACGGTGACGAAGACGGTGGGCATGGAGGCCGCGGCCTCGAAGCCCAGGCCGGCCGGCATCTGCACCAGGGTGTGCGGCGAGACGCACACCGCCGTGCCCAGGCTGCCGGCGGCCAGGCCAAAGACCCTCGTGCCGGGGGCCAGGACCGCGGAACCGGGCGAGGTCACGACGCCGGCAAAGTCGCCGCCCGGCGCGCCGGGGTCGCCGGGGTACATGCCCAGCACCTTCAGCACGTCCCTGAAGTTGATGCCCACAGCCTTGACCTGGACATCCAGCCAGCCCGGCCGCCCGGCCTCCACGGGCTCGGGCACCAGGCCGGAGAAGGCGCCGCGCGGGCGCGGCATCAGGTGGAAGGCGCGCATGGGCGCGGGCGGCGCCCGGGAGGGCACCAGGGCGGGGGCCTGGGTCGTGCCCCAGGCCAGCCTGGCGCCGTACCCGTCCCCGCCGGTTCCGGGGACCGTGGAGAGGCTCAGGGAGAGCCCCTGGTCCGCGCCCTGGCTCCCGCCGTGGGCGACGCCGGGCGCCTCCTGCGCAAAGGCGCGCAGGGCGCCCCACACCGCCCCCGAGGCAACGGCGGTGGGGGCTTCTTGTGTCTCCACCAATCCACCCGCCGCGGCCGTCAGCCCGCTGTGCAGGCTCACGGCGGCCACGCCGAGGTCGTCGCCGCCCTGCAGCGCCGCCAGCATGGCGGCCGTGGCAGCCAGGGGCGTCGCAGCGGGCGCGTCGGTGAGTCTGTAGCGAGCGGAGGAGGCGTCCGAGGACTGATCAAGCTCCCTATCCGCCACGTCGGCCACCCGCCAGTCGACGGCGTAGAGCAGCTCCGGCGCGGGGGGCAGCGTTGGGGCGTGCGCAGCGCCAGCGTCGTTGCGCGGCCCCGCGCGCATGGTGCGCGCCTCCAGGCCCTCCAGCGTCGCGGCGCCGGCGCCCGGCGAGTGCGTGCCCGCCAGGTCGTGGTCCCTCAGCGTGGAGCCCTGGGGCGGTGGCGCGGCGCCCTCCCGGGCGGCCGCCAGCAGGCCCGTGCCCGCGCGCGTGGCGCGCGTCACGGCGTAGGCAGCAATCGCGGCGGGGACGCGGGCGCCCTCCTCCGACCCCGTCGCAGCGTGCGCAGCGGGGACCAGGGCGCCGAGCTGCAGCGTGCAGTCCAGTGCGGCGGGGTGCACGAAGAATCCCGCCACGTCGGTGCTGCGCGCGTCGTTGGCGCCGGGGTCCAGGGCAGCCGCGGCGCCCAGCCGCCCGCGTCGCGCGCCGCGCAGCAGGCGGAAGGCGGGGCCGTACTCCAAGCCCGCGGCCGCCAGGCGCGCATACGCGTCCGCCACGTCCACGGGCTCGCAGGTCCCGGCGCGCACCGCGTCGGCGCCCACTGAGGAGAATGGGGTGGAGGTTGGAGTGCCTGCTGACACAGACACGCCGGTCGCCAGCTTGATCAGGGACGCGGTGAGGTGGGGCTGGGACGCGCCGCCCGCGCCCCCCTTCCTCTCGCCCGGGTCGAGCGAGGGCATGGCCAGCGCCCCCGTCCGGCCGTCCAGCTCGACGAGCAGCTGCACGCTCCTGCGCGCGGAGCCTGCCGCCGGCAGGAGCAGGGGGCGAGGCGATGGCGCCGTGCACCACCGCCAGGCCCTGACCCGGTCCGGCTCTGCCCAGCGTGGCCCCTGCGGCAACGGCCGCCTCCAGGTAGGCCGCGCCGGGGAGCACCGCCGCGCCGCCCACGCGATGGTCCCACAGGAAGGCGAGGCGCGGCGCGGCCAGGGGCACGCTGAACTGCAGCCGCTGCTTGGCGGCCGTGGCCAGGTGCAGGAGCGGGTGGCAGGGCACCAGCGCTTCGGTCCAGCAGGCAGTGCTCCTGCTCCAGGGCTGGGCGGCCAGTGGCGAGGCGCCTCGCCCCTCCGCGGCCGG